TTGAAGGGGGACGGCCAAGGCCCAAGAAGCTTTGGCTCTTTATCGGAGCGGGCTGAACGGGGTGTGGCGCTGCCCGCAGGGGGGGCCATGCTGGACGTCCAGGTCAAGCGCATCCACGAGGTGGGTGCTGAGGTGGCGTGCTGAGGTGGCGTGCTGAGGTGGCGCTGACCTGGCGGTGCAGTGGCAGCAAGGGGTGCCGCTGCCGGCGCGCTCTGGCTGTGGGCGCTGCCTGCCCACCAATCCACGCCACCACAGGCCCCTCCTCCAGCTCCTGATGCTCGCCAGCCAGCGCCTGCCCTGTACCGCCCGCCTCACCCTGCCTGCCTCCACCCGACCCGCCTCGTCCTGCCCGTGCCGCCCGGCCCGCCCCACCTCGCCCCGCCCGTACCGCCCCGCCCCTGCAGTACAAGCGCCAGCTGCTCAACGTGCTGGGCATCATCCACCGCTACGACCGCATCAAGAAGATGGGGGCGGCGGAGCGGAAGAAGGTGGGTGGTGGTGGTGGCGGTGGTGGTGGTGGTGGTGGTGTTAGGGGCAGGCCTGCCTGCTGCTGCTGCTGCTGCTGCTGCTAGGGGCAGGGCCCCGCCTGAACTGATTCGTTTTGTCCATCCTATCCATGCTGGGCGCTGAGAACGGGGGCCCGCTGCTCTGCCAAGGGCCCGCCTGCCTGGTGGCCCCGCCCGCCGCCTCCCCTGCAGCAAACTTACCCAGCCGCCGCCGCTGCCCCGCCCCCGCAGGTGGTGCCCCGCGTGTGCGTGATTGGCGGCAAGGCGGCCCCCGGCTATGAGATGGCCAAGCGCATCATCAAGCTGGTCTCTGCAGTGGCAGACAAGGTGAGCTGGTGTGTGTGCGTGTGCTGCCTGGCGGGCGGGGACGGGGCCAGGAGGAGGTTGCGCCTGCTGGGCGCCGCGCGCGCCCGCAGCCAGGACGCGACCGTGCGCGCGGGCGCGCACGGTCGCACGCGCACGCCACGCTGTCCCGATCGCGGCGCACACACATATATCCATTGCATCGCAAACGCACCCACACCAAAAAATACATCGAAAAATGGCGGTCAACTGTGAAACATATGACGCACACCACCACCACCACCCACACCCCCAGGTCAACGCGGACCCCGAGGTGGGCGACCTGCTCAAGGTGGCCTTTGTGCCCGACTACAACGTTAGCGTGGCAGAGACCATAATCCCGGGCACCGAGCTGAGGTGGGTGCTGGGCTGCGGGCGTGGGTGCCCTTACGTTGGTGTTTGCATTGCAGCTGATGCGGGTCTGTGTGCGTGCGTGTGGATGAGCAGCAGCGCATCCGACCCGCCAGCCCTGCGCCTGGAATGCCGCCTCCCCTCGCTCCCCGCCCTCCTCCCCTTCCCCCTCCCTCTTTCCCTCACCTGCTCTTCCCCTCCATCCTCCCCTCCCTCTCTCCCTCCCTCCCCGTGTGCCCCCACCCCACACACCGCAGCCAGCACATCTCCACCGCGGGCACCGAGGCGAGCGGCACCGGCAACATGAAGTTTGCGATGAACGGCGCGCTCATCATCGGCACCATGGACGGCGCCAACATCGAGATTGCGCAGGAGATTGGGGAGGTGGGTGCTGGGTGCTGGTGGGTGCTGGTGGGTGTGTGGTGGTGGATGCTGGTTGCGGGGGGCTGCTCTGTGGCGGCAGCAGCGCGCGCGCACGGGGGCACCCTCCGCTGCCGCCTGCTGCCCTCCTGCTGCCTCCCGCGCCCGCACGCTCCGCCTTGACCGCACCATCCAATTCACCTCACCCACATACCCATGCGCACCCTCCAAACCTGAATCCCCAACCAAAATT